AGGACACACACACACACACACACACACACACACACACACACACACACACACACACACACACACACACACACACACAGCACACACACATCAAATATATTCCAGATACGCGCGAAGAAATTTCGATATATTCAGAATAAATAAATATAACCAATTCAATTTTAATTCCTTCCTTTATCAATTAAAAACAAATATTTGATGCAATTATTTTTCAATTATCATTTTTTATTTCTACTATTAGTCTGAGGTTTGTTTTAAAATTTTGATATATGACACGCTTCACATCCTGTGATGTGCATGTACTGCATGTACTTTAAAGTAATTGTTGAACTTCAAATGTTCACAGATATATTTATGCTAGATAGATACATTTAAGATCAATAAATATGACAATAAATATTTAAAGATTAAAAATGTAATGGGGCCCAAAAAAAGTTTGGGACTATACATCACAGGCATCAAGGGCATTATATGCGCCGCATATCAAGAGATATCATTTTAATACAAGTTACAAACTAGTAATAAAAATAAAAACGATATAATTGAAAAATAATTGCATGTTATTAATTGTTAAATAAAATATTTAAAATATTGTTAATAAAATATTAAAATTAAATTTGTTATATCTATTTATAAATATATTGAAATTTCTTCGCAAGAAAACTTCTCTCCAGAATATATCTGTCACCCTGTATATACACGCACACACATTTAATGTATGCTATATAATGAAATATTACGTTTCTCAATGCAACACGTAGATAGAATCGCACGTGGGAACATGAGCACTGATATCAACTTCGAAGAAAAGCAAAAAATATTCGTGAAATGCTCGACTATCTGTACACGATCAATTCATTTGAATTTAGCGAATTCAATTTGTTTCTCGCGATATATGAAATTTAGTATTCTATGTTGGTTGAACATATACTGCCCTTAAAGCAGACACGAAGGCTCGAAACAAAACGTCGCGTACGATACTTTCGCGGCTCCGTTGCTCGTGTCATCGAGTTTTCTTATCCGCCGGACACACGAACGAGATCGCTGTCTCGTCATCATATTGTCAATTATGTCTGGTAAAGCAACAAACCGGTGATTCAAAAGAAAATATTTATTTCACGAAATAGGATTCTTAATTCATACTTGTTTTTCGCAGGATCTTTGCAATATTTTATTTTGATTCAACGATTATATCTTCCATCCTCTACATATTAATAATAACGAAGTAATTAAAACGGTAATTATTCCCTCGGATTTCAATAATATGATCATGCTTGCAATTAATGATATTCGATTCTTGTTAAAAAATGCGGATGTTTTAAAATCGAGTTTCATCTTTTTCTTCCAGATCAATCTCTCCCTTGTATGACGCGTATTCGGCGCCGAACGCTGAAGGAAGAAACGCGGTTTCCGCATGCGTTCGCGCACACGCGGCCGTAGACCATGCGGGTTTGTCTGCGCTCCGCGATCTCGTGCGTTTCGTCGTAACGCAAGTGACGAGAAAAGAAATTGGGTCGTCCGACCGGTCGCATGACGCGCGCGCGCGCGCGCAACTGACGTTTCTCCGTGCACGTTTCGCCGAGTGACAATAAGCGATGAACCGCACATCAAAGACACGCTTGCATATCAAATCTTTAAAAAGCCCACACTGGTCCGCGAAATTTTACGGTAAATCCCCGACGGTTGATCGCATTTTAGCGTTTGTGTAAAGTTATCATACACAAAGTTGATTTCAAACCTTCCGACGTTGTTACGTAAAAGTGTCAAGAGTTTACGAGTTCGCGAAAAACCGCACAAAAACTTTTCATGGTATTCATTAATTAATGTATATGATATAAACATAATTATATGTAGTTATATCTTTTATAATTTAATTTATGCAATTTGCGACCAATTCGTCATAAAACAAGGCATCGTGAAAGAAACCTCGCCGTGACGCATAATCAAGACGTGTGACAAGTGAGTACAGACTCGTTAAATTACGCGCGTATTTGAAGTTCATCTAATAAAACGAGACACACAGCAACTTCGCAGTTATCACAATTTTATCGCTTCGCACACAGACGAACGCGTCGTTACAACACAACGACAACGATTCGACAAACAAGAGGACGATGATTCATACCATTTGCACAGCGACCGATGACACTTGTCACCCCCGTCTAACCTTCAACATTTTCGGCCGCGTTTGACGGTGATTCGCGTCGAGATGCCGCGCGCTCGTGACGTGACGCGACGCGACGCGACGCGGTACGGTACGGTACGGTACGGTACGGTACGGTACGGCACGGTACGGCACGGCACGGCACAGCACGACGCAGCGCGACGCGACGCGGCGCGACGGTTTCGCGGCCGCGCTCGAGGACGAAAGGATGTCGGGCGCGAGGATCAAAACAAAGGGAGGGCACGCGACTCCGGCGAGGACCGCGCGAGGAAACTCGCGAGTACGAATGACGTGCGAAAGGATACGAGCGATCTCAAGCTGAGTCGCGACGATGATGTCTACGTACACGACACTCCCGCGCGTCTTTCGATACCGCTCGCTTCTTCCTGCTTCTTCCTCCTCTTTCTCTCTCTTTCTCTCGTTATTGTTGCCTGAGGCGTGCCTGTCGTCTCGTCGCTTTCACTTACGACGCGATGTCGCCGGACGCACGATCTTCACGGCGCGGAGCCGCCAAAAACGATCACCAAGTGTCAAGGTTGCCATTGTGCACACGTACGTGGACGTGTGCGCGCGCGCGAGTGTGTGCTTACACGCACACCGTCTCACTCTGCCCTCTCCTCCTGGTTCCCGCCCCGCTCTCTTCCCTTCGTTTCTTCCTGCTCCCTTTCGTTCCCCCTAGCCAGCCTGCCTACCCGTCCGCCCGCTCGCCACTCTTCTCTTCACCCTCTCTACCGCTTAGCACCCGCCGCTGCCGTCGCGGTACCGCTATCACAACAATGGCATTAGGAGAAATTACGATACCCGCAGCTTATTTCACGATGACACTGATCACGACGCGTCGTGACTTGCCGTAGCGGTCAATTGGATTCACACGCAGACAGGAAACTGGGCTCCTTTCGCGTCCGGCCCAACGCGTTACTCGCCGCGGCGGCTTTTTCAGCGGAATTTCGCCGTGGCGCATTCAGCGATCAGCATTTCGCGAGGGAGTTCCCCCACTACTTGTTCGATTTGCGCGGCGGCGCGCAGCCGCGTCGCGCCGGCCACTCGCAGGGCCGGCGCGATCAGGCGCCCATACATACGGCCTTGTTTACAAACAAACACCCAGCCATACCGGGACGCCGCTGTTTCGATCGGCATGGACGCGCGGCACAACGCGGCGGACCAGTAACGCCGATCGGCAATAATCTTGCTATTATCGCGTGTATCTCCATTGATACTCATGAATTCTTTCATTTTAATTATCTCTGACATTATGTCACTTTTTTTAAAATGTTATCACATTTATCTTTGTTACATGCAATTTATACTCGGTTGCAAATGGAGTTTGGTTCTCTCTCTAAGAGATTTTTTTTCATTAAGTTTATTATTATTATTATTATTATTATTATTATTAAGTTAAAAATAAAATAAAAAGAAAATATATTTTATTTATCAATTGCTAATAATTGAAATAATTTAAATTAATAAATAAATTAATAATTAATTAATCGTAACAGTTATTATAACGATACAATAAATATTTTAATATTAATTGTTACATGATTTATTATCATGTTATGAATATTTTTTACTTTAAAAAAAATGTTCTGTCAAAAGAACCCGAATGTTTGATTTAATATCGCTTACAGTCGCACCTGAATGATGTCATGATCAAGCAACCAATAGAATATCACCGCGATCAACTGTATAAACACCTGACAACATATTGACGGCGTCATCTCGAGCAATTTTTGTTTTTTTGACTTAACCTTTTTTTATTTAAAAAATCAATTTAGATAATACGCTAAATATTCCATAATCATTCATAATAATATGATAATACAACAGAAGACTAATTTATTTTGTTCTTATCAAATTCAGAGAATAAAGAACTGATGCTATATATCGATTATCGTAAAGGTCCAATAAAATGCTTGTGCGTCGTAAACAAAAGTGTCCGATTGGACCGCATTTTCCCGCCATTCTATCTTTCTTAAATTTAAATAGTAAACTCTTAACATGTTGGAATGCTTAAAAACCATCGCAAAAACAAACGAACTAGCTTATTAAACAGAGTGTGTTTCACAAACAGGGAATTGTGTTCTTTGTATAACGTATCATGTTTCACTGTTGTGCCCCAATGTTTCTAAAGGACATTATTCATAAAATAATATGCAAGATAGGAAATAATCCCTACGTGCAATCATCTTTGCTCTTGTCGAATCCTTCCTTGTAAATGTTCCGATATATTAAATTCACTGAATTTAAATTTTTCTATATTATGTTTATCAATAAAATTATTTTTTTAACAAGATCATTCTCTTTTAAATAATTACAATATAGTTAAAAAGATTTTTTAAATAATGTAACTAAAACTTTTATAGGTATATTTGGATATAACAACATATAATTGTCCATATGATTTTTTTAAATTATTTTATTTAAGCATCCGCAGTTTGATAAATTCAATAAACGTATATTGTATACAAAATCCAATATATCAATCTTCATACATATGTGTAATTTGAATAACATGTGATGGAATTTCTTATTTCTATTTAATCGACGTGTTTATTAATCTTTCATTGATGTACAGTGCAGATTCTCGAAAATTGGAAAAACATTTACACGCTAAAAAAAAATATTTTACCGAAATTATATATATATGTATATGTCGTCTAAATTATCTCGGAGAAGAAAATATATCCATTGAGATTTTTTTTTTATTGCGCATGTAATAGATTCAATGTAACAATATGTATAATATGCAACGCATGGTTTTCAGATAGAAAAAGGAACCGCCTGAAATCAAAAACGCGTACGAATCTTATCCTTAATCTAAAGCCATGCCTTCGTCGTCATCGTCCTTCTTATCAGGACTATCGGCCGATGATGATTGCTTCTTACTCTTGTCGTCTTGTCCCTGTTGCGCTTGCTGTCCTTGACCGCTCTTCGCTTCGGACTCCATAGCACTGACGAAATCTTCGATGTTTCCACTGGAAGCGGCAGTGACAGCGTCCGTTCCCAAGCCAAATTGACGGATGACAGGGCCCGCCTGGCCCGACTGCAAAGCAGACCAGAACATTGATAGCGCCTGGGAGAACTGGGGAGACGAGAGCGTGGTAGACAGGTTGTCCCCGGGCGGCAAGTGCATGTTCATGGCACTCTCCAAGCTCTCCGTTGTAGAGATCGCCGCTGGGATAGCGTTGGTCAGCTCTGTCGCTACGCCCCTCTGCCGGACAATAAGCTGCGCTGTAGCTGGACGAAAACAACAGATATACCCGGAGAAACTTCCCCAACTGCTCAGCAGAGCCAGAGTCTCCGACAGCCAGGAAAAGTTCAGACAAAGGATAGTATTGAACAGTGAGAAAACCATGCCTCTGTCTTTTCGTTTGTCTAGTGTTGTTCTATCACAATATGGTTTAACAATTAATTAATTTGATAATTATTATTAATTCATCGTAAAATGAGTTTTGCCGCACATATTTATATATTTTTTAACACATCTCTTTATAAAATTCACATCCTAATAAACACATATAAATAATAAATGTATTTTCACAGTATGTGATAAAAAATATACAATATATTTAGCAATTTTTCAAAAAAATATGATTACATGAAACTGCACTTTGAAATAATAATAATGTAGAGAGTTCACTTATAGATTATTAAAATCCTATTGATCTCAGAGAGAGAAAGGTAGACAACATTAAAACATGTTAGCTACAACTCAATAATCACGTGACTTCTATAATGATATTATCATCTACAAACACATAAACTGACATGTAAACTTAATCTTAACACATTAAGATTCCAAATCAATATACATTAGTTGAATACAAAGTCCATTATTGTTCCACAAATTTTTATAGCAATAGTTTTGTTAATTTAGCTACACATATAATAATTTCAATTAACAATTTTCTAGCATAGCAATCTATTATGTGATACTATTATTAATTATGCATGAATGAGGCTAAAAAGATTCGGTCGTTTTGCTCACTCAAAGAGAGAAGAAAATTTTAATTATTCATAAAACACACTGAATGAACTTGAAAGTTATTCTGCAACTTCTGCTATCAAGAATGGCACTTTATATCCCTGATAGTGATAGCAGCTGTAAAAAATATATAATTAGTATGATAGATAATCTGATTCATTCATTTTGTTCATACATTAAGAAAATTCATATGATTCACTCCTGTCTGTGGTCATATGTATGATTATTTACTGTGTTTTCACAATATCATGGATTTGCATACCCAAATTATTATACAGGAATTCATTCTTCACCTATCTCACTAGTTTCGTTGTTTTGTGTTTAAAATAATTTAAAAATACATTTATATCTTTTTAATTCCTTAAAAATAATTTCTTTCAAAACAAAACGCTTCAAAAAATATTAAAGATGTGGTCTTGACACTACTATAATGAAAGAAGCTATTTAATCTTATCTTTTTACAGATAAAACATGTTATCTGTATTGATAAAGAATGACATCTGGAAATTTATTTTATACAGTAAAATAATATTATTATTAATTAGATTGATATATATACAAATTCTTTATCTTAAAATTATTTATATAAATATTTTAGTAAAAAAAATAAAAAATGCAAAAAAACATTTTTTAAAGAAAAAAAGTACAAATTATGAAAAACATTTTTAAAAAAGTCAATCAAATTTTGTTTTATAAGTAGGTATGTTCGCTAGGTAGGAAATCAGATTTTTAATACAACAATTAATATTAGAATCTTTGCATTAAAAAATAAGAATAACAATATGCATATAATATAATATATAACAAAATTGTTATATATTACTTTCAATAAATGTCTTATAATATAATTTCAATTTATATGTTTTTACTTTAATCATTTAGATCATTGAATATATTAATCATTGCTTTTTTATGACAAATTTAAAAATATTTTTTTCATAATAAAAATATAATTGTTTTTATATTTTTGAATATTTTATATTTTAATAAGTTACGAATTTATAAACAAATCGAATTTATTTAAAATTAATCTAATTTTATTTCTTAATTTCTTTTTTAAAATTTAATCTACTAGTATTTGTAATCAATCATTATAAAAATTCATCACGCATCATTATAAAAATTCATCATCATTATAAAAATTAGATGCTTTAATATTTTCATTAAATAGAAGTTAATTATGAAAAGGCTAAATAATTTATATAATTTATATAAGTTTTAGGATAAATACATGTAAATATACATTCATACAACCAGCATTAAAAATTTATGACAGAGGCATCTTCTACTCACAAAATATGGTCCATAATATGGTCTTCTGAATCCTCTTTTATCAATATAAGTGCCTCCAAAAATGGTTTACAGCCAATCAGATTTATAAACCACTTTTAAAGGCGTTTTAACAGATTAGAGACATTTTAAAGAGGATTCGAAATATGAGCTTAGATCTTCTATTACCTGCTATCATTTATTCCATGCTGATTCAAAACTATTTTTTCATAATAAAAATATAAAAATAATACAGTGCATTATACTTGTATATTACTCATTTGTTAGAAAATTCAATTTTTAATCAAAGTTTTAATTCAATTGACTCAGTAATAAATATGAAAATGTAACGTGACATTACCTGCACAGCTGGCTCAGTTCGAGACGGCGTTGGAATTTCTGATAGAAAATTCTGCAAGTCGCTAAGCTGTATCCTATTGCTTGGAGCTGCTGTCGTAGCTGGTGTGGACGGAGCTGTCGTTCTGGTTGACGACTTATTATTACCTAGATGATATATGAAATATATCATTAAAAAATATGCTGTTTTATTCAATCAAATGGTTAACTTACTCGAAGATTTAGAGTCCGCATTAGGTCCAGGAGTTAATGAATGGGGTGGCCTAGTTACATTAGTAGTGGCTGGAGTAGACGAAGTCGTGGTGGAAGCTCTCGTACTCTGAACACCATGCGGTCTATTCATTGTACCTAATAGACTACCTAAACCCCCAATCTGGCCAACGCCGCCGAATAATTGTATAAGTTGTTGTTGCGACATATTGTTTAATAAATTCTGAAGATCTCCTTCGGCGTTAGCACCGCTACTTCTCTGAGATCCTGGAGTAGGTGGATTATTAAGTACATCATTAATTTTTCTGCAATGCTCCTCATCCTTCTCAGTTTTGAGATCCTGCAAGAATACAAATTTTATAAAAATTATAATATAAAATATATAAAAATATATAAAATTATATTTGAAATACAAATAAATTATGTAAATGTCGCATTATGAAATGTTATCAAATACTTGTTAATTTATATAAATAAAACGATAGAAAAATTGTTACATCACATATGCTACTCTGTGATAACTTTGTAAGTATACATTACAAAATTATATTATTTAACAGGAAAATTAATATAACAGTTGTTTTAAACCAAACTTATTTATAACAAATTCAGTCCATACTATACCAGATATAGTGTACACTAAACACTATATATAAAATTATCAAGTTGAGTTTGTTAAGCTACTAAGCAAAATATATACTTAATATTTTCATAATTAATTAAAAAAGTTATATTATGCCACTGCATATTATGCATCTATATATTTCATATGCATTAAAAATACCCATCTACATATAGATATGATATGGATGACCAAATTTGATGTTAATAAATCTATGGCCAAAAATTAATGAGAAAATATATTATAATTATAGAGATTTTTTGATAATACTCAATTCGATCTCGATAAAATGTTTGATTAACAACTACATAAAGAGTATATTTACTTGTAACCAAAAAAAGAACTTCTTATTCGATGACTTAAATCTCAGAAGATACACTCTACCGGTTTTACACTGAGGAACATGTTTAAACTCACAGTCGTCAGGGAAGATAATTAAGTCCTGAAAAAACACACAAGTCTATAAATGCAGAAATTAATATACTGCTAAGTAATATACTGCTAAGTAGTTCTTGTAATATAGTTCTTGTGTATGTGATCGTGCGAAAAATTGCTTCTCCAGCGCATAAATTCTCCAATGTACAAATTGCTTAAAAACAAGAATAATTATCATACATCTTCAACCACCCCAGTCGTGCGGTCCTTCCAGCAGAAATGCATTAACGAGTCGTCGGATTGATAGACATAGAGCTGGCCCTTCCGCGTGTCCGGATAAACCATCTTTCCCTTCACGGTCATTTTGCCGGCCTTGAACTCCACCAGATTTTTCGAGGCGCCGCGCGACGCATTATTGCCGAAAAGCGCTCCACTCGACATAATGCTTGCTTAATACAAAAGAAAATTTGCCGTACAACCGTAAACGAGGCTCGAACCGAGTTAACTTATCCCACCTTATGAGGCGCTGCCGATGACACTGCATTTCAAGATGGCGGTATGATATGGTAGACCACGTAGAGAAAAAAAGAAAGCGAATGAGATAGAACGGGAGAGAGACAAAGAAAAAGAGAAAAAGGTTGCAATTGCGGATCATTTCCACGCAGATTATTAAGAACTGTTGAAAAAAGATAAATTTGGCTGAAAGAAATATAATTAGAAACGCTTCTCTTTGTAATTTAAATTATTTCCAAACAGTGCAGATAGCGCAGACAGTATTGAAAAATTGCGAAATGAAAGTCCATAGGAATGATTTAATTATTTTAATCATTTGAATTATTGAATTATTTTCATAATTTTGTTACAGAAATCCGTACGGTGATAGCGAGTTCTTGGCTTTTTCTTTCTTTATTTTCTCTTTCTATCATAAAAATAGGACTTTAACAGTAACTAATCGATCAATCGCAGTCAAGAATTCTCAAAATATCGAGAGTTGGCGCCTTTTACCTTGTTGCTTTTCGTTTCGTTACTACTTGTGCTTTGAGATTCCTCGTGTTCACTGATACCGGCTTATAGGTTAAGTCGCACGCAACGTTACTCGTCATACTATTATTTCCATAAACATTGCATATAATTATATATAAATATAAATAATCGCAAAATGGTTGTCTTTACGTGCAATCATTGTGGCGATCCGTTGCAAAAGCCCAAGGTGGCTGTGCATTATCAAACAGTATGCCGAAACATACCCTTCTTAACCTGCGTGGACTGTCTGAAGGATTTTCGGTAAGAACTTGAATGATAGACGAGAAAATCTTTTCTTAGTACAAGCGCAACTTCGTGGATTTCGTATATTTTACAATTTTAACAATCGAAATATATGTAGAGTGATTTTTAAGTATTACATTAGTTTCAAAAGAATCAGCGATCAACCGCTCTTGTGCTAACGACTTGTAGATAAATCGTTAATAAATTATTATATTTTATTAGTAAATTATATATAATAATTATGTTTTTGATATTTCTAATTACTTTAAAAGAAATGAGGAGTACATCTCACATACTAAGTGCATAACTGAAGCTGAACGATATGGTGGGAAAGACTATGTTCCAAAGTCTAGCGTAAACAAGGGCGAGCGCAAGCAGCAGGAATGGATTAATGTTATTAATAATCTGCTAAATGGAACAATAGTTTTGTCCAATGCTGAACAGAACTTTCTCAATAACTTATCAAAATATGAAAATATACCAAGAAAGAAATCTAAATTTCTTAACTTTGTACGCAGCGCAATGGGCAATCGTATGAATATAACGGTTGTCGAGAGCGTTTGGGATAAAATAGAAAATGCGCACAAACAAAGTCAACAATTCCCTTTGAAGAAAAAAGAGATATCAAAACAGGAGCAAGATAAAGGTAAGGGTTTATTTTATAAAAATCTATTTAAGTTTATTGAATAAAAAAAACTTCTTTTAAATATGAATTATATATGAAATAATAAAACACATTTAGATTCAGACTTTTTATAAGACAAGCATTTGTTTTTCCATAGATAAAGCATGTATTCAAAATACAGATTCTAATAACTCATTCGATAATCAGAATGTTGCTGAGAATCAAAATAATGAAAATCTATGCAAAGAAAGTAATTCTACGAATCATCAAAATGACAAAATGAGTGAGATTACTAATGGTCATATACATGAAAAGCGAAGTAAATCTAAAAAACGACGATTAGAATCGAGCGTTCCATTACCAGAGAAAGATCAACCTGTTGCAAAGATTATAAAACAATCTAATTCAGAAACGAGTAATAATGGAAGTGACGTTTCCACATTCTGTTGGAAGAAAACTATTTTAGAAATTTTACAAACTAAGGGTGAAATGTCTTTAAGAAAACTACAAAATAGAGTTATGAGAAAATGTATATATTATGTTTTTAGCTTGAACAACAATACTTTTAAATTAACTGAATATGAAAAAGCTATTGTAAAATTTAACAAAACAATAGAAAAACTAAAAATATCATCTGCGATATGTATCTCGGGAAACAAAGTAAAATTACTTTAATCACGTCTGTGCATCATTTTAATAAGCTTCTGAAAACAATATAAAATTATTAACGCAGTGTAAAGTCAAGATACATTTCTTTTTGTTGCCTATACGATGATATAAAAAATTATATTATTATATAGCGCTAGTCTCGGTAACATTTTTTTAATTTATTAAATTTTTGTCTTTAAAATAATTATATATAGATGATGTATAAAATGATTTTGTAATAAAACTTATGATTGTTATCTCATTTATTATATAAAAATCTACTTTTTTATACAGTTTATGACAAATGTATCTCTTATAATAAATAATTAACGATAAGAAACAGTTATTACAAGATATGTAATAATCTTATTACATAAACATATTGATTTTTTTGGAGCACGAATCTTACAAGCAAAATTTGATATATACAATTTAATCTTCGCTTATTGTATTCTTTGATTAATGTGATTCGGATGAAAAATCATGCAAGAATTTTTCGGAATACCATGCATGATCGCTCATAGTTGCTAAGAGACCTTTTGTCAGGACTTTCGGATCATTCGCTCCAAAATAGATTGGCTGTTGATCGTATAACTGAGTCACTGTTCCTCCTAAAGCACTATATACGAAAAATAAAAGTTAGAAGAATAATAAATAGATATAATATTAAGACAAACATTTAAATACCTAAGAATTGCTGTGCCTGCACATATATCCCATTTTTTTATAGTAGTTGTATGAACGTATGCTGTTGCATTACCAGCAGCAACTTCCAAGAATTTGTATCCTAAATTAAAGTCTTTTTTTTGTACATTCTGCATATAAAATTTTACGTAATACAAATAAACGCATAAAAAAATGTGGAGCTGAATAGAGGAAATAAGAAACAATGGAAATATTGATGGCTAAAAGAATGCATGTCATATGTACAAATTATCATTTATTTTCACTCCTATGCGTCTAATTGCGAATTATGAAAATAAAATTGCATTATAAAAAAAAAATTTTACCTGCACCAGCAGCAGAAATAATTTTGACGTTGTCGCCAAAGGCAATTTTAGATGAATTTTTTACTTGTCCAGCGTGTGAAAGAGATACAATTAAGACAGGTATCTTATTATCTTTTACCTGTTCAATAAAGATTAGTTAAATAATTAAAGTTTAAAAATTTACTATAATTTTTCTTTTATTAAATAATTATTAATTATTTCGAGTATAAATAATTACCTTGGACAAATTTTTCAGATTTTTTGACACATCATGATTATTCCATGTCCAAAATAAACTATAATTTTGTCTTGTCTCAAATGGTTTATATATAACACCAATAACTGGTTGTCCTTTAACAGCTATGCATACCATAGTAGATACATATTGCAGTAAATTTTCTAAAAAAATGATAGAATATAAAAGAGCTGTCAAACTTATTTTCTAATTAAAAAGTTACATCTAACTAAGGATAAAAATAAAATATCTCAGAATCATCATCTTTCAATTTATTTAAATTTCAGAGAGAAAAGAAGATTTGTGTTTAACATTTAAAAGTATTTGATGAATCTGAGATGTTTAGTATTAGAAAAACTATTTCAATGATTTTGTAACTTTCAAATTATATGTCAAATTATTGTGCCTATGTTAAATTATTTATTTATGGAATAGGCTTTACCCGCAATGTCTTAATATTTCTGAGATTTGTAATGGATCTTATAATATTACAGAATTGATATGATTATTTGTAAATATCGGAAATCTATTTTTATTGATTTCTTCAATATCTAGCCATAAACGATCGTGAAAAGATTAATTATTTGCAAATCCCAATTACAGGTAACATACGAGGTATTTTCTTCGTATTCATTGCCCATAATTTAATCTTAGGATATTTTTTCTATAAAATGTTTGATGAAAATCAACTTATTGATCCTAATACAAATAGGTCTAAATGTAAAAGTGTACAATAATTCTTAAAAATCCATCTTAAAGATAATTGTTTCTGCCATAAATAATCTGAAAAGTAATGTTATTAAAAGTACTGAAATATTATTGTGACAAAAATAGGTATTTACCTGTGAATTCTTTGGTAGCATCAAGAGGATCTATCCAGATGGTAACATCATTAACATTAACAATATCATTACTTTCGTGACCTTTACTTATATCATAATCGATATTGTTAATAGAGTTCTTAATATCTTTCACTACAATCTTATCACAATCCTGCGATGTTTCTTCAGATATCACAGTAACTCCTGGAAATGCCTCTGTTAAAGAGCGATACATGGCACAGTGAGATCTATAATCTGCTGCTGTTACTGGATCATTTATACCTTTGAAAGAAATAAAAGAAAATCATTACATTATTGTTTTATATGCCAAAGTTTGTCGATGAAATAGGAAAAAATACAATATGCAAACATAATGCCATGAGAAATAGAAATGATCATTCTGAAATATAAATGTCATGTTATACATAAGATGAATCAAGTTATATATCAGTATTATTATTACCTTCTTTCGTTAAGCCTTTGCTCTCTATTTTAGATTTAATCTGATCATGCACTGCCACTACTTCCAGTCCTCCAATCTCTGCCGCTTTTATTGCAGCAGCGAGAAGCTGCTTCAGAGATACATTATTGTCGCTCGTACGCCGATTCGTACAAAAATAAATAATGCCTAGGAGCACAAGTGCGCACAAAAGTATTCTTTGTGTACGCACACTCATTCCGCCTTTAATGAATTAATAATGTGCGGCTTGTAAGCCGTAAAGTTTGTTGCCGTACAACTTTATAAACTTTCAGTATGACTGCAAAAAACCTGTAATGATAAATACATGAAGTATATTAATTTTTATATATATATATATATATATATATATATATAATAATAATGTACACACACACACATACATACACCACACATACCACATACACACACATATTGGCTGCTTTCCATTTAGTGACACAAGTCGACAAGTATCATTTTCCTTATTAATCATTGAAAACCAAGAAAGATAGAACGATATTTGTGTCGACTTGTGTCACTAAATGGAAAGCACCCATTTATTACATGTGTTATATAATAAAAGCATTAAATTGCATTGTCTATTTCATCAATATAAATAAATTTAAATCTCAGTTTAACTTATTCTTTATCTTTTTCTATTTTTCTAATTCTTAAAAGAAGAAATAAAAATTACATTAAACAAAATTAAAATTAATTCTACATTGATAAAAAGACATCTAATATTTGCTTCTACCAATATAGAGCTGCAATCTTTATTTATTTTTTTCTAATTCTTAGATTTAAGAAAAGATAAAAAAACCGAGATCAAAGATTAATCTATATTAGTAGGAATAAACCTAACTCGTATGTACTAATTAGTAAGCTATCTATGCATACTAACTACTTTCACATATAAAAATTTAAAAAATAAAATGCTTTTACTATAGCACATACAAAGCTGCTTTCTCATAACCTTATTTAGTGCAGTTGTTCAAACGTAGGGTGATGCAAGCTTAATGCCTAAAGTTGGTTAATAATCAGTAGTTCAAACACGGCCCTTACCTCATATATTTACGAGACATGTAATGTCATAATTTTGAGGATTTTGAGGATTTTTTTCTATGGAAGCTTATAAAAAAAATCTGTTTAGGATTTCAGCATAAGAATGAAAAAGGTCAGTTAAAAGAATAAGGTTAAATTGTGAATCACATAACTTGAAAAGGATAGATTGAAAGCACATCAAATGTCACCATCCAGCATACAACAAAATAAAACTTGTTCAAATACCAGAAGATAAACAGGAGTTAAACAGGTGCAATTTGTGACGAGTTTGTTTTAGACATTGTCATCCCACATAGATTTTTTCCTTCCAAAACGAATAAATGAAAGATTTTCTCAAGTTTGATTTTTTCGGAAATCAATTTTCACGGATTTATTAATCACAGAATACTCGTATTCATCTTTGTAATTAAATCTTCATTACGTACATTACACAGCCATTCAATGAATAAAATAAGGATCCATTTGTTTTGGTTGCACTTTTTACACTTTGTGTTTCTTTGAGTTCGCTTCTTCCCTCTCCTCTGAGAAATTTATATTTACACAATTACTTTCTTCAATTTAAGTACAGAAAGCTCGACAACTAAAACGATTAATCATAACTTAAACTCAACTTAAAAACTAAACATGATAATCTACAAATGTCGTTCCTCAGATTTTTATTCCATTTTTTTATTTATTCATTCCATTATTTCAAATAACACACACTTTTAAAATAACAATTGTTTAGAAACTGTTGAACGTCTAATATATTATTCAGCTTTCATGCAATGCTCTAAAATCTACAGATATAATTTATTATTTTATATTCATCTTGAAAATGTGCAAAAATTCATAATTTAAAGTTTTATAAATTTTCCAGAGAAAATTTCCCCGAGTTTTCGGCCTCTACTTCCGAATCCATTTTTCCCTCGACGTCTTTCCATGTGTCTGCCCATATAACGCAAAGACATTTATATGATTTAAGTATCGTAATCAGGATTATTACGAAATGAAAAGAGATTGAGAAGCGATTACAATATCATTTGAGAATCGATCAAGTTCTAGTCATGGACTACGAAAGAGACTCTTTGATGAAGGGAGAAAAGACTGCAAAGGGAGACAAGTGGAGGAAGTTGGCGACAGTAAACGAAACGAATTCTGCTTACCAAAGGAAAAGCGAGAGATGACAGAAAACTGCGTCGACCACGTGTACAACTCCTTAGTTATTACGCGCCTTCAAAATGCGCAATTGCGTCCTTGCATCCTGGGATAGAATCCATTATGTTTTTGTATATATATACACATGCATGTATTAAAGGAATAGATTAAAGAGAGATACCTACTGCGCAACATGCGCGCGTCTTTCGGAGATACACGCAGAATCGAGAACCAGGAGCCTGGCTATACTATTTCCTAAAAAGAGGGAAAACGCATTTATACTTTCTTCTACCTAGTGAGTAGACTTAACTTTAATCTCGGTTCAATTTATTCTTTTTATTTTTTAATTTTAAAACTAAAAAAAGAAATAAAAGTAAATAGAATAAAATTAATCTACATTAGAATGCTCATAGATTTGTTCTCCTGTACCGATGTGGAGATGATTCGAGGAATACGACGAAACCTCAGCGACTAGAATTTAATCTCCCGAAATATATTGATTTTCTTTAGTGTAGAATCATAACATAATTGGTTTTTATTGTGAGTTTTTAAATCAATGTTATAAAAAATGGATAATCTCACAAAATTAAAATAGACAATATTTATTTTTGTATGTAGTTAAAATAAAATATAAAATGAAATGACATTTACATATTTACATATTTAATGTTCATAAATTTTAATTAAATGTTAATAAAATATAAAATGTTAATAAATAATTTTAATGTTAATAAAATATAAAATGAAATAACATTTACATATTTAATGTTAATAAATTTTATATGAAATCAATGCAGTTAGTTTCTGTACAATGAAAAAGAATAAACTTAATATTTGTCTTCTTCATACATGATCCCATTTGCTCCAATTGCATCAAAAACAGAAAAAGAATAAATTTTCGTGGAAAAAGTTAAAATCAAAAAAATCAAAAATATTTATATTTCTTTTTCTAATTTAAAAAAGTACTTTCGGTTATTCTCTCATCATACGGGTTATTCTCATCATAGACATATCTGACATCTGACGTTGGATGTTGCTTGACTCTGGCGCAATTTTTTAATCTGAAAAAATAAACCAAGGTTTGTTTTTTATTCACTGGGCTGCATTAAAATTTTCTATCTTACTTTTATCAAACTTTAAATATATATTTATTTTATTTTAAGTACGAGTGTATACGAGTGTATACTAGTTCAGCGGAAAACAAACTCATTTACTTTTTTTCCTCTTCGTTGACAACAATCGAATGACAACCTTTACTTTAACTTGTCATTTCGTGTTATATGACAAACCATTAATTTACTCTTTACGCATTGAGTGTCATCCTCCGACATTCCTATTATGCATGATACACATCGCTTATTAAGCACACACATTCAATTGACTCAAAATATATTACATCGATTACTCCTCTTTATCTCCTCGCTGCATGATCATATTTAATTGTAGCCATAACAATTCATTACACATTGTGAACAATGCCATCGCAGAGGTTCTCCCTCTCTTCGTCGGCTTCCCGCTAAAATGAAAACGCTGGCCGAAGAAGAAAACGAGACACGCAAGTGCGAGCACCTTCGTCGACTTTGGTTGGCGCGCTCGGCAACGTGCAGGCAAAACAAACGTGTGTCGCTAGTTTTGTTTATTGACTGCTATCGGATTATGATGAATGCTGACGAACGTTACGCGAGGAAGAGACGACCCGCTGGATCGGAGTAAAAGCTGGAGCGTTTCGGAATCGCACATTCGAGAATCATTTGCGCAAATCGCAACACGAGAGAGATCGCTCGTTTTCTCTTTCTCTCTCTCTTTATTTCTCTCTCTCTCTCTCTCTTTCTCTTATGCACGCATGCACGCTCTCCCCCTATCGTGAAAGAGCGCAATAAATTTTGCGTGTCGGACGGACATATTCGCCTGGGCGCGAAAAATCCTTTGGCGTCCAGGTCGGTTCAAGTCGTGGATTTACGCGGACGGAGCAATTCGCAGAGGAAAAAGAGGAGGAGGAGGTAGTGGCGGAGGAGCAAACGAGTCGCGTCGGTTTGCGTGCACAACGTGACATGAAATCCGGTGATCGGTAATCTGTCGTCGCGCAAGAGGAAGGCAGGAAGGAGAAGAGGGAAACCGGGTGGTCAGACGCGTCGCGACGAGATGGCCACGATCACGAGCGCGACCTTCCCGCGGATGCTCAAGGCGTTGCGGGAGAACGGCAATGTCAAGGAGAAGCGCGAGGCTTTAACCTATATCTCCAGGTAAAATATATCGTGAACGCGCTTTCCCTTCCGCGCGACAGAAATGGAGGCGCGAGGTACCACGATGATCCTCGCGTGGATGCTGCGGTCACAGCTCCTCGTGTGATAACAGTCGTCGATTAATTGTAGAAATTAATCGTGGATGTTTAGGCTCTTTTATGTCTATCTCTCTATTACCAAGCTGGATTAATTTTAATCTCGGTTTAATTTACTCTTTATCTTTTTCTAATTCTAAAAAAAAGGATAAAAAGTAAGTTAAACCGAGATTAAAGTTAATCTATCATTGGTAGAAGTAAAAAGGGATAAGGAATAAGTTAAATGTCAAGATTAAAATTAATGTACATTAGTAAAAATGGATGTTAAGTTTATTACGTTGTACTCTTTGCATTTATGATAAGATTAAAGAAAAAAAGAGAAAGAGAAAAATTATGAAGGAATAATATGAAAAAAGAACTATTAAGTTAGAGAAAGTTATTAAAAGATTGAACAGTTTCTTTTGGAGTTCTAAACTATCTGTTATTAATCTACAATAATCTATAACCTTACTATAATCTTATATAGATTTAATGCCAAGCAAACTTAGAATTGTAAAATTCAGAATCTTAATGTTATTGAGGAATACAAATTTATTAATTTAGAATAGGATCACGAATAACATTGCATTTCTTAGAAATATATATTAATATGCAATATTGTTCAATACATATTTATTGAAGAAAGATATTAAATATATTTGCATGCATATGTTATAAAAGCATTTTCCCTGACGTTTTGCAATAAAGATTCGATATTTGCCTTATAGTCAAGCTAAAAAGTTAGAAGCAAGTGGTGCTATTAAGGAAGAACAATATAAGAATGTATGCAAGCTGGTGATAGAATCGTTTTCGAAACATGAAGGAATCTTGCAGAATGAGGCATTAGGAGCATTCAATGCCATTATGCGGGAATTTCAAGCGCATCCTTTACACCTCTTTGAATCAATGCTACAAACAGATAAGAAAACAAGGTTTGACAAAATTAATTATGAAAATTTATAATATTCTGTATTTGACAAGATATTACTTTCTTTCTTATTTTTAGATTAAAGATATTTAAACTGTTGGAGGTAGTAGATGATAATGCACTTTCTGCAGCTGCCAACGATGGACAGACTTTAAATTTTTTTAAGGCCTGTTTGATCAATGTCCAACCTAATTTAATGGAATGGTTAACATCAACAGCATGTGTAGATAACTTACAGATGTTAACAAAGATCGAATCGCAGCCTTTGTCAGAGGAGCAAAAGCTAGAAGAAGATATAAACAGTTATGCGCTTGCTCTTTTGAGAAGATTATACAGACTGGCTTCTATAACATTTGATCAAAGTGTTCAAAAGGTACAGGCATGTACAATTGTATCATGCAATTTTTCAAATTACGCTCGAGCTTATGAATTTTCGTTTTTTTCTTTTTTTCAGTTTGACACATTATTGATGGATAAAGTCGTCATGTTGGCCTATATGGGACACAAGCGTCAGCGTAGTCCTGCTTTGAAAGTTTTGCAACAAGCTATTGCGACTAATTCTTCGTCCCATATTCGTAAAGATTATCCTGACATATGGACACAATATAAAACAAATTTACAATCTATATACTACAAACGCATGTTGTTGTTGGTAGCAGCATGTGATCTGGATTGGACTACTCAATGGAATACAACTATTCAGTTCCTTGGCACAGATCTTCATCGCGGTGCCAGTCTTATAAATAATTTGTTAAGTGTTGAAGAGAAGGCCTTTAAATCTACTGATCCTATTATACGCAGGTAAAATTACAGTTTTGCGATTAAATTATGATTTTACTTAAAAATGATTACTTAAAAATGATTTTGATTACCGAAAAAAACTAATTGATGTTTCTTTATTATATTGCAGACAAGCTTTCCTTTCGTGGAAATTGCTAATTGACAATTTTGCTTTAGATCATCAAGAACTTGCTACTGCTAGAAGAATAAAATTACTTTGTATTCCATTAAATGCCAAAAACAGTAAAACTGAATTAATCGCATTGACAAAACTAGAAGTTTGGTGGCATTTAATTATTAAATTATATAAAGATATTGCAAAATTTGTTTCTCCTGTTATTACACAATTTTTAAACTATTGTTTTGGACCACTTGGAGATACACCACTGCTGTCTTCCAAGTTCGACGTTGTTGCCTCTCCAGGCAAAAGATTTTTTAAGACAAAAGTGGTTGCTGTAGATGCCCTATGTCAATTAATTGTCACAAAAGAAGATCTTTTTACAGTTTGTTCTCCAAGTTTGTTAGAAGAAAGACTTCCTCATGCTATATCTTATGATGTGTTTCAAGAATGCTCGAAAAATATTATTCATAGTATAGCAGAGGCTCTTCTAATTCTTGGTCAACTTACTGACAAAGAAATGAAAAATCGCTTTCAGCTTGGCCAAACATTGTGGACAAGTCTGATGATATACATAAAGAATGTTAAACTCGAAACAAAGGTTACTAGCACATATTTAAGCTTTTCGTTTTTACAATAAAATAGAATTTTGAAGATATTGTTTTGATTAAATTTTATTGAATTTTACAGGACCATCTGTATAGAGATGTGATACTAGTTGTAACTGAATTGGGAAATCATATAGATAAGCTCATGGTGAGGGATATGATATTTAATGTAATTTTGCCAGACATTAATTGCATTCTTGAAAAAACTGAATTTCATGATAATGCATTACCAGAATTGGTATTAAAACTTTTAACATCGCCAATACTCGACGAAGTATTAAAATATATCTTGTATGTATATCTTAAATTAATAATTGATATGTTTGCTGTTTATATATTTACATGTAATATTCTACATTATATGAGCATTTATCTTCATAGGGATTACAACAGTAATACAATTAAGTGCCTTTTGGAACGATGTGTTAGTTCAGAATTTACATATTCTTTAGGTGTGCTTGGATTTCTAGAAACAATAATGGAAAATATAAAATCAGTATTTAATACACGTAACGACATGTAAGCTTAATAAATTCTAATAACAAATTATAAAATTTTAATAAATTTATGATCTAATGAATAATGTATTATATAGGAGTAATAATGAACTAGCTTATTTGGAATTATGGTCCATAATAGCAGAAACGTTGACAAAATACATAAGAAATTCTGAAGTTAATGGAGAAGATAACTTTAAATCTATGAAATCAATTTTGTCATTTCCATTTTATACGTGTTTGGAAGATCTAGAGTTGGTTCGTATAATATTAAAAATATTTTCTCTTGTTACTATACATTTATTTTTGTTGCGACAATTTTTTTTAAATATCAATTTTATAGATAAAAAATCAAATAGTAGTATGGAAAGCTGTGTACAAAGAAGTCGAATTGCACTCGGATTTGATAAGTACAGTGAGACCAAATGAAATTGTACTGGATATCGCAAGCATGATGCTAAATTGTTTAAACACAAACAAAAAATGCTGTACTTTCGTTGTAAATTGCTTAGATGCTTTAATGAGTACTCTTGATTATGAGGCCTTGTTGGGTATGCAAAATTAATTATTATATTTCTTATGAATAATGTTCAGTTATATAGAATATATATAACATTTTTTATGTTTCAGCTCAAGATGAAATTCCATCCATTATGCAACTAATATTAGACGTTATAATAATCTCTTTGGATAATGTACAAAATCTTAATTCTGAAGTAGCACTGAGAACATTATCGGCTATACTTATTACTATATATGGACATAATCCGCAAAAAGTAGTATTATATCTGCATAAATGTAAATCAGTGATCGAACTTATACTTAAATTACAGTCAATGGAACTTTTTAAAGAGGTATGATCTCAATGTTCTTTACAGAACATTTAATTTTTATTGTTATCTATATAATTCTCTTTATATTTTTTCTCTTTTAATTTTGTCATAGATTGCAAATACATGGGAATATATAGTCAGTATTTTCAAAGGACTTAAACAATCAGATCATGAACTCTTTTCATCATACAAAGAAGCAATTGTAATAGCCATGAATCATGCTAATCCAGATATAAAATCTCTGACTCAGTCTATTTTTGAAATTAAAGACAGCTTCAACAGTACCGCTAAGTGCATTTTAGATGAAATAGAAAAATCAAGAGAAAAATCTCATCCAAAGTTTGATAGCATTTCAAAGAAAAAGATAGAAACAGAACAAACAAAAGAAGTGCGTATTGCTGGCAGTTTTTTGAATAAAAAATCAATTACTCCAAAATCAGTGTCCAGTAAACCTCCTGAAAAAAATGACAATAAGTTTATACCTGAATCTGATTCACAAGTAAATATTTATTATTTTAAATTGCACACATTTTTAAATTTGGTCAATATTTTTTATATTTTTAAATTTGTTATAGGATTATGTATTCATAAAAACTGATCTGAAATTTGACGTTAATCGTTTGACCGAACATCAAAAAGAAACTTTGAAGAAGAAAAGAGAAGATATACCGGCATTATATAACGATCTTTCTCAATCATCCTCGCAAAACTCTCAAAATTTACAACAATGGTTTGATATTAAAGCCAAACATATTAACGAAATAGATAAGGTCAACTCAATTAAAAAAAGCGAGTCTGCAATACAGAAACCTGTTGATAACGATGCTAACAAAGAAAACAAGGTCACGATTGAAACACAAATGGAATTTTCTAATACGATAGACAAAACAGTTGATAATATCCGTGATAATGAATTAGAAAATGTTGTAAATCTTGAAGAGACTACCGTTAATACTAAGCAAAACGAAAATTCTATGAAAAAAATTAAAAAGGACGAGCCTAACGAAAAGCAGGATACATCAAAAGAAGATGAAGAAACAGATGCTATAAAAACAATATCTTCTGTTGCGAAAAGATTAGATTTTGAATCACGGGAGGAATTTCCCGAAGATAAAATGCATGAGCGACAATCATCTCCGTCGATGTTAGATAGTATTAAACGACGACATCGCAATAGTGTGACAAAAGGGACTTCATCGTCAAAGAGCGACGAGATTGTTGAAAGTCAAAAAGATTCAAATACAACAAATGTACAAAGAAGTTTGAGAGTGAAGACTACTCAGGGCAAACCTGGTACAAATAAACAGAAATTACATGATGATATTAATATTAAGGAAAAGTCTGACGAAAATAAAAGAAGCGTTAAACGTAAGTACATGTCAGATACTGAATCAGATGGAGGCATTCAACATCGAAAACGCAAATTAATTACTACTACTACTACTACTACTACTACTACTACTACTACTACTAAGAGTCTTAATGATTATGGTGGTGAAACATCACGAAGCAGTGACAATGTCTTCCCAGACATAGACAAAGATAATGTAAGTCAACGTATGAAGAATGAAATATCTCGGTTGAAAATCAATATGGTATTTGACTGTCCTGTGCTAAATCGCCGTCGAATTAAACACTCGGATGAAGGAGAAAAAGAAACAGTAGTACATAGTTTAAGAAAACATGGGACACCGGACAATAAGAATCTTAAATTGAGAACTATGGATTCAAAATCTATAGAAGGATTAAAGAGATCTCCTAAAACACAAGAGAAAAATACGAATATGAAAGATGCAAAAGATATAGATGATACAGATCAAGTAGTATTAAAGAGACGAGGTAGAAGAAGCAAACAAGAATTAATTAATAAAAATGACTTGGATGTTAATAAGAATGATAATAAAAATAATAACGACATTAATAAAGATAAAAATATTAAAAATTCCAATGATACTATTAACAAGGCATCTGAATTGAGAAATGCTGATACAGGTATAACAGGTATAACAAATGTCGTTCCAACATCTAATCAAATGCAAGATGAAATTAAAAAAACCCAAGATGAAAAACTTGATAAAGATAATTCAAACTCTATTTCAGATGAAAAACCTGCAGAGCTTATAGAAATAAACGAACAAAGTCAGAATGAAAGTGAGGATGTTGTCGAAAGTTCGCAAATTTCTAATATCGACTTAAAACTAGATAAAATGTGTAGTGAGAAACAGTGCTTCATTAAAATTGATAAAATGACAAACGTACAAGCTGGTAAAACTTCCGATGCAATTGTTGACAAAGATTATGTACCTGAATCTATCCCTATGGATTGTGGTGATAATGTCGTACCTGATCCATGTAAAGAATTAGATGAAGCTAATCCCATGAGTAATACAGAAACAAAAAATGAAGGAAATACAGATAGTATAGATAAAGACGCTGAGGACTTGGTTCAGAAAACTGATAATTTTACTACGAAAATTATAAATTCAGAAGGTCAGAAGACAATGGAGAACTCGCCATCTATGATGAGATCTACGAGTGTAATAAATTTTTCGCCAAAAAGCAATAAAATATTTTCTAAGTCTAAACCTTTCACGGGACGTGCTGCTCATATGTTAGGTTTAGTCACAAGTCAAGTACGACTCGAAAGTGATAATCAGCCTATTATATTAGATGATGAATCGTGCATAAAAAGATTAAAAACCAAGGACACGGAGAATGAAACAAATAAGAAAACATCAATGATCAAAGAAATAGATAAAATAGGCGGGCCTTCTGGCAGCAGGCAAGAAAAGATTTTCAGCAACATGAGATCGACTGATTATTGTGTATCTTCATCGACACATACATTTACCACTTTGAAAAATGATGGCGAAAAGCTTTCGTTTAAGTCGGATAGGAACACATCAGATTATTTGTCAATGGAAAAATCAATTGACAAAGAAAATGAAAGGAATATTTCACCATCGCATGAAAAGGACAATTTACCGATATTGGAATGGTCAAGTGCTAACCCACCTTCTTTAACTGCATCCCCGAGTGCTAGTATTCTTAAACGTCATCGATCGAATATATTAGAATCAGATCTAGATACTTCAACTCCGAAGGTATTTTCTGTACAAATTATATTATTTTTTTAGAATTTTTTAAGAATAGACTGCAAGTTATTTTTGATAATGCTATTTAATGATTACAATTTAAAAAATGTGTCATGTTTTTATTTCGATTTTATGTTATATTTTAAAACATTCTTTACTAAAATCATAGATTTAAAACATATTTGATATTTTTTGTTACAGCGAAAGCGAGTGAGTTTTGCAGATCCACCGGTGTCAAAAGAGATGGGTTATGAGATTTCTACTGTGGAATCTCCGCAAAAAACGAACAAATATTCCATAGCACGTAATCTCACGCCGAAGAGTTCTCCACTTAGGTTCAAGCAAACCAAACTTAAACTTGTGCCACTCGATACGGAGAAATTTACAATTGAATGTAATACTGAATGTAATACTGAAAATGAAAGCGGTACTGAAGTTGTTATGGAAACTGAGAATAAGAATGAATTATTGACAAAAATTTCTGAAACAGATCAGGGAGATATGAATATCGATGAGCAATTACCTGCTGATTTTACAGAAAGTAGCAATGTTATTGATGTGAATTCCAGTATGAAGATTGATATTATTGATGAATTAGAATTAGCGCAAGAAATTGAAATAATCACGGAGTCTACTGTTCCCGAAGATCAACAGTCTTTATCTTCTGAAGATTCTTCTAGTACTTCGCCAATAAACGACGGAACGGAAGATTCTGCAACGCAGCAAGACATCTTCGATGGGACGGATATGAAGACTAATGTTGCGCTAGTTGAGATAAATAATGATGTTAATATGGATATTCAGAATAATTCGGTAGATTCTATTAAATTGAACGTGACCGATGATTCTGTAATTGCGGCTTTACCTACCAAAGACGAAGATCCGATTGATATGGAGGATACTATAGATGTTCAGAATATTACTGGATTAAATTCTACTATAAATACAGACGAGGTATTTGCTGGAAAGTTGGTACGCACCAGTACACAAGCGACAGAAAACGTAACAGAGCAAGATACCTTGCCGGTAACGGACTCCATATTTGCGAGTATATCTTCGACACAGGATACTCAGAAACAGGAGGCTCCAAATGACGCAGAGCTTGATCCCGAATTTTTGGATTCGACGCAGCCTATTTATCCAACGTTGTCGTCGTGCATGGAACCTATTGACGCTATCATTGAACAATTGACTTATCCACTTTGGAAACATAATTTAAATAAGTATTTTACGAATAGAAGTATGCGCACGATTGGTGATCTTGCCCAGCTGACAGAACGCGAAATTAACAGAATGCCCGTGAAGGGTGATTCAAAGACTAAATTTGTCAAGAAGGTGTTAAAGCATTTCGAAAGTACATGCATACCGCAAACGGAACCCTCTGATAAAATGTCAAATACCGAGATGGCGCAATTGCCCACTAAGACGACAACTGAATCGCCAACTGTACCAAACGCAGCGATATCTGACATAGAAACGGAACCTGCAACAATTAACAACGAATCCTTAAGTTGCAGTACGCCAATTACCGAATCCGTCGAAAATATCTCCGATGATTCGCTAAGAAAAGACTTGCCTATAGAAGATCCTGACAAAACAATCTCGGTTACCAGTGACATAAATACGTCATCTGAACATTCTGATTTGTTATCCTTAGACACTTCTATGAAGGATGAACAAACAAATATAAAGGTACCAATTACCGTTCAAATTTCAGAGCCTGAAGCATTTACAGATAATGTTGAACCTGCGCCAATCCCATCATCGCCATCCGAAAACATGTACGTAATCTTTTATCTTCTTTTTTTATAAATACATAACATTTTTGCAAATATGAAATATAAAAAATGATTTGGTTTTTTTAAGAGCAACTACGAATCCAACAATACTGTCTTCATCTACCAGCCAAGTGGACACGTCAAAAAATCTTGCCGAATCTTCAAATGTTTATGATGAGCTTCTGATCACGCACTCTTCTATTGGCACCAATACTGACGAAATCGATTCCTCGACGCCAACTACTCAAAAGGTTACGAAATCTGTTGAGTCTCAAATGGCACTTGCAGATTTGTTAGACGAAATTGACGTAAACCTCGTGTTGGAAAGCGCAGTTAGAAGATGCAGTCCCGAAGCAATTCTTTTACAATATAAGGTAAATTTTGTCCGTTGCAATACCAGTCATATCGATAGTTTATCAAATAATCGAGCAAAGGATTAATTTTCAGGTAAAGATGGCACATTTGAAGGAGGGAGAATTGCTGAAGGAAACGATCAGAATGCTCGGTTTGCAAAATAAACAGCAAGTTAATGACGCGTCGTTAAAAGCAGCCTGCCGTGCGTGCGGCGTTAACAAGGTTCTTCTTAGATTACCTGACATTTTTAGCCATGACAAACAATTTTTCGATAAGGTTCTCAAGGTGTACAGTAAAAAGCTTAATACGGTCGACATGTTGAATGTTTTCGATTTTAGTCAATTGAAAAATGCGATCTGTCAAAAATGTACATCGTCCGAAATTGTTGAGATACTGTCACAGAAGCTAAAGCAGGAAGAGCAAGAAGGTATTAAACAATCTATGCCGGAATTATCTAGTTTAAATGCTATGTTGCAAAGATTGCCAATGGATGTAATTATTAGTCACACTGTAGCAAATGAAGAGCTTATTCCGGCATCGGTAGTTCTCGATATTGCTTTACAGAACAACAGCTCAGGAGATATAGCACAAGCATTAAAGCAGTCCCCCGTAATGGCTAGACGTGTTTTAGACAAATTGTGGACATCCCAATTTACGGTTACACATATCGAAAATGACGACGTATCCAAAGAGAGTTTGCTCAATATTTTCAAAAGTGTATGTTCCAAATTGACTGTGCAAGAATTGTTAGACGCGTATCACGAGGCTATGACAAACAAGCTTGACGACGTAAAGAATGTGAAGGATGTAAAAGACGAGAAAAAGTAAATCGGAATCGACAGTTCCAATGTCAGTATCAAGTAATATGACTGATGTTTGTAAATGTATTGTGATGCGTCTTATATCCAAAAATCATTTTTTATATACACCTGCTTATTTCATTGCTCGTTGTTTGAGCCTAACTGTGACAGATATTTTTCATTTTCATTGCTACCATATAATGAATTCTCCATTATCTTTGTTTTGTAACTTGTTACCATTAATTGATTTTACCTACATTCGAAGTATTCAAATTCATAACATTCAGCATAACATATACTTGTATTGTATTATAACATATATAAACAATAGATATTACAATCTCGCAATATCAAGTCATTTTTCGCATATTTTCTTTGAAGGAAGAGGAGATATTTTTGCACTCGTCACACAATATTGGTTTTCTTCTATATACTGATTAAGGATTATTATGTATAAGAAATTACACAAATTTTTTCTTAAGAAAAAAAAAATTACTCTTGAACATAAAACAAGGAATTTATGTATTTGCTAAGTATTAAATTATTAATATTAATATTGAATTATTAATAATTATTATTTTTAATAATTAATTATTAATAATTATTAATAATTCAATATTAATATTTATAATTATAATATTTAATTATTAAAAATTACTAATAATTAAATAATATTAATCTAACAATATATTAATTTTGTATTAATTACATTAATTACATTAATTTCTATTCACTTCTAATAATATTAATTTCTATTTCATTTTTAATACACATTATGTTTATGTTATTCTTATATATATATATATATTTCTTATATCGGCTGTAAATTGCTTTATTAATCATGTTTTACTCTTTCAGATTGCAACTTTTGTACACAAATGACACTTTTCTTTAAAGGAATGACTGTTTCAAGTGACGTATTTTTGAAATATGTTCAATTATAAGTTATTTCATGGATTATGTTATTTGGAATAACTTTTTAAATTAGTAAAAGTGTTAAATTGATTAGCGGTGAGCATAAGATATCTCTTCATTGATAATGCGAGAATTAAGAATAGTTATTTTTTAATCAATTGCGCTATACTGTAATACAACTTGTATATATATTTACATATTGAAAGGTTATCCGTTACTTTAGTTAGATAAGGAGAGAAAAGAAGATCTGCTTAAAGTATTCTGAAGTAAATGTAATAAACGAAAGGATTTTTGGACTTCTATATTTTCCTAAGTTTTTATTTTATAATCACTTATATAAAGAATCATCAAGAGTTTTGATTAATAGCATATATGAACATTTTATTTTTTTAGTTTTACGGAAGTTAATAAATCTATTTTTTAAACATTTTTGTCGATTCGCTAAAATTATAGCTATTATCTTAAATGGTACTGCATTGTTCCTAAATGAATGTAGCGATTATCATTTTTACAAGTAAATATTTTATAAGATCAAATACAATTATCAATAATTATTTATTTAGACAACAAATATTTTGAGGTATAAAATATATTTATAGACATAAAATTTATATATAAGATTCATATTATCATTATGATTTTGAATCTGTTGTTTTTTACGATATGGATGTCAGAAGAAGTTGAGAAAGTTATTTTTTTAAAGTAACGAAACTTGTAATTTATAAGGACTTTTTTCAAAATAAGTTTTTCAAAATAGAAGGAACAATTTGCATTTTTTACAGGTATGAATTTCATTGTTGCTACATTAATTAAAGTAATTCACGTCTACGTTTCTCTCAGATAATATTTGATTCATATAATTTATATGCCTTTAACATATATGTTGATGAGATGAACACATCTATTTGTAAAAAAATTAAATTGTAATTTAATAATTCCATAATGCCTTTCCGTAAGATCGAATTCAACACGCTTACACTCAAATACTTTAATGACTAGGCGATGACCAGATAATCAAGTCTAAGTATATGTCATTGTAAATATACATGTTTGTATATCATTCATATTGATGGACGATCAATATATTCACTTATTAATATGCTTCTTACATCGTTCTTATTATACCTGGTATATATTTGCTGTACATGAGTACATTTGCTTGTATGATGAGCTAATAGATTCAAGTAAAAGTAGCAAACATTGAAGAAGTTTGTTGATAATTCATGCAAGAAAATGCATTGAAATGAAAATACTGATTCATTTTCTTGAGTGATATAAAATATATTTTTAATTTTAGCCACGTCTGTGATTAAAAACATCTAATCATTCATTTTTAATATCACTGTATAAATAAGTTAATAAGATGAATGCGACAGTGAATATGTATCCTTTGATCTTCTTTATTAGGACGATTATTGAAATTTTATTCGTATATAGTGTAAGCGTCTTATAATAATAAATGATATTTTATACAAATTAGATCAGAAAATTGTTTCCTATTAATTTCGCACTTTATGTTTTGAATAAAAATGCACAATGTGCATAAGGAAAAGTTATTCCAGGAAACTATATAAATATATAATCTATGATCATTTCCCATAAAACTTTGAATTTGATTGATTTTTTTTTATAATAATACAGTATATTTCCAGATCTTCGTTACTTCTTGACCATCGCAATTTTACATAAAAATTATGTAAACTGTTACTGTAACAAAACTTGGGTCTTTAGGTCCGACAAAAACTTGGGTACTTAGATCCGATAAATATTGTAATATTTTAAATAGTGAAATTTTCACATATTTAAATATTGCAAAAGGCGCGCGAATTTACTATTTGCTTCTTGTTTATTTCGCATTCGGAGTATCGATCTCGCGGCACATTCATGTGACAAATATACGGTCAATTACAGCGGAAATTCTAGATTCCCAAAAGACTCCGTATCAAAATACGATACCACGGACGTCATAAGACTATGTGATATCTCGGTTCTTATTGCAAGTCCCTTGGCTATGAATGACAGTCTGTAATGAGAATTTCTATTCGTATTTTATTTTTTATTCTGCCCCTCTTTGAGTGAACCTCTTAAGGTGATGTATTTTCGCTTAGAGATATTCGTATATTGACGAATCTTCTAATTATATGTCTACAGAAATAGTTTCTCCAAATTTTTACATATAAAATGCTAATTAATTTTTTACCCAATATCGCGAGATTAATACCTGGATAATATCGGAAAAAAGTATTATCGTTATTATATAAAGCGAATTTTAGCTGTGCAGGGAAAGAGAATAGGTGTA